GGGGGGGGGGGGCTAGAGAACAGAGCCACTTTTTACTCTTTTGTACCTTTTGAGTGTGAATTTATGGCATATTTTGAATGAATAAAACTTGAATTTTAAAAGAAGAGGAAGAGCACACCAGTCACTCCATAACCAACAATTACAAGGGCTCTGGGCTGGACACTACGAGGTTGTTAAACAGTCAGGCTCTGCCCTCCGGCTCTTTAGGGTTTTGTGAGGAAGCAGACAGGGGCAGGGTTATCTACAGTGCCCTTTACTTCCATCCCAAGGAAAGGGGCTTGATTCCAGTAAACAGATGGGGGTCATTTCCTACCCTGAACCTCACACGTCACTCCTACTCAAAGATTTACTCAGGGACAGCCAACTTGGGAAACTTGTCTGGAAGCCAGAATTCCACTAGAGAAAATGGAAATTATTTGTAAAATAACTTCCAAGGGTCCTTCCATCTCCACATTCCGTGATCCCTGGGATATTCCCAGGAACGGGTGCGTCAAGGACGCAGTGTGTGCTATTAGCCACAAGGAGGCGCCAGGAGCACAGGATGCAGAAGGCAAAAAAAGGGGGGGTCAGTAGACCCGCGGGGGGACCCAGGGAAAGGAGATAAAGGAAAGATGAGGGTCTGAATTTAAGGGGAGCTAGCTGTGGACCCACGCTGAGCTGTACCTAGGGGCCCAGGTAGTCCTCAGATTTGCCATTTGCCAGCAGGCCTTGTGACCATCACCCCTGTGACAGGCAGTAACCGGGGCTCCCCTTAGTTATTAACAGCACCTGTTGGTCAGTGGAAAGCACCTGGCACCCCGGGTATTGGGAAGGGAAGATTTAGGACAGGCTTGGGAGTCAGGAGCCCTGAGTCCTAAATCAACTCTGCCATTTACTAGCCATGTGACCTCTTGCAAGTCCCAGCACCTTCCTGAGTCTCAGTTTCCTATCTGTATTCCAGCTGGGATTCAAGTCAAGCTACTTGAAAACAGGACATCAAAACAGCTCCTCTGCAGGTACTGGGCAAACCCCTTCACTGTCCTGAGCCTTCTTTTTCTCAGCCAGAGAAGGGGTTAATATTCCTGTTTCCGCTCTGACTGCTTTGGGCCCAGAAAAGCTGAGGTGTGAGTAGACGTGTTAGGAATTCTCCTTTTATTGTCTGTGTTCTTGGTTTGCAGAACACAGGCAAGGAAGTGGGTGAATCTGAACAATTGTTTTTTAACCAGTTAAATCTGTTCAGCATCGTTTGGTAGGTAATATTGTAGTTTCTGAAAAAACGTTTGTTGTAGTGACAAGATAAAGTTGAATAACAGAACTATGGCTGAATGGCAACTGAGTAATACAGAAACACAAATAATACAGTAGTTCAGAAAAACACACCGCCAGAGGCTTCTGTGGCCAGGGGACAAAAATAATAGTAACATTTACTGAACACTTATGTGCCAGGCACTAAGTCAAGCATTTTCCATACAGAACCATAAATCTTTGATTTGAAGCAACTTTGGGGGTCATTCTCCCACACCTGTAATTATATACTTATATGTATAATTATTCGTTTAGGGTCCGTCTCCCCTGCTAAATTCTAAGCTGAACAAGTCCAAGTGTTGTATCTGTCTTGTTAACTGCTGCATGCTCAGTATTTAGCCCAGTACCAGGTATATAATAGGTGCTCAATAAATATTTGTTGAATAAATAAATGACTGAATCAGCAATCCCATTCCATACTGACTCCCTTCTGCATTGACTCAGAGAGGGACATCGGCCTTTGCCTGAACAATCCCCTTGGTGGAGAACTTGCTGCCTCACAAGGAGTCTATTGTCAACTATCTTGGATCCCTGGCACTTCGCCTCCTTGGCCCTGGTTCTGCCCCTGAGGAAAGAGCTGGATATGGTGCCCTTCTGTGCATCTCAGTAACCCCCTTTCAGTTCTGCCAACCAAGAGTCCACCTAACTCCGATGGAAGGAAGAAACATTATGGTGGCTGGAAAGGGTGCAAGGTCATCTTTTCCTCAAGATGGGAGGAAGCGGTCTATGCGCGAGGCAAATGGGATGGAACTTGAAGAGAAAAGAGACTGTAGATAGTGGAGAGGAAGGGATGGATGTAGGATCCTCCGTGGGACCATGTGCTGCAGGGAGGTGGGCCTTAGCCTAAGCCCCCGCCAGTCATGGTGGTCCTGTTCCCCTGGCCAGGGGGTGTCTTAGGAATGAGCATGTGAGCCAGCTCTGGCCAGTGAGCTATAAGGGAAGCTCTGCTGTGGGACTTCAGGGAAGTCTTCTCTTAAGAAGCACAAACTGAGAGGGTCCCTTTACTGCCACTGACCTGGAGGTGATGCAACTGTTGAAGCCCTGTTGCTGCCACCAAGACCAACACATGGAGAGCAAAGCCACAGAGAAGTGGAGCCAGAGCTTTGATCTAACTGTACCTGAAGGCACCCCAGGCTTGAACTTCCGGTGAATGAGATGATAAACCTTACTGTGTAATCCCAGTGAATCGGCTGTTGGTTAAGTACCACCACCAAGAGCATCCTAACAGATGCATAGATAAAAACGGCACGAATGAGGGCTCTTTCAGTGACAAGTGCAGAAGCCCACTCGTAACGCACTTAAGCAAAACGTAGAATGTGTTGGTTCAGATAACTGAAAAGTTCCAAGTTGGCTGGATCCAGAGACTCAAATCATGTGCAGCATGGTCCCCCGGATCTCAGGGGCTTCTCAGTCATCCCCGGCACACCCTGCTCTTTTCCAGACAGACCCCCGGACAGGATCTGCTGCCTTTCAGTTCTGTGGCCACTGATCAGTCACTGAAGACCCTTGAGCCCCATTTCCCCATCTGCTCAATGTTTGCCATGTACAAAGAGCTCCCAAGAACACATAGATTAAGCAATGTAGCCAATATTTACTGAGTGCCTACTCTCTGCCAAGCCCTTTGTATGCCTTATCTACTCAAATCCTTGCGATAACCCGTGGCACAGACAGCTATCTATACCCCAGTATTTGTTCCATCCATTTTTTCTTGGTACTAAAACCTCTCCTTTTTAGCTGGGCACACAAAAACTACATTTCCAAGTTCTCCTCGCAGAGGTAACCATGTGGCTAAACTCCAGACAAGGGAGAGGAAAGGGAAGTGTCACATCGAACCCCTAGGGAATGTCCTTAAAGGGAAAGAGACACATCTTCCTGTACTCCCTTCTTCCTTCCTGCTGGCTGGAATTCAGTCAAGAT